AATATCTAACTTTTTATGTTTAATCAATGATAATAGTTTTTCCATATCTTTTACGATACATATTTTTGTTGTCCGTGAACTTAACTCAATTTTGTCAATATTTTTTGTTGGGAATCATAATCGTTATTATTTTGTTATAAATTTGATTTCAATTACACGTAATAATGGAAACCATTATTACTTGTAATAATGTAATAATTCGTAAATTCAAAAAGAGGAAAATTAAAAGTTCTTTTCGAAGGTTTTATTTATGTTAAACAGAAAGATTTAGCATACGGTGTCGTATCCTATGAATGCGAAAAAAGGAAAAACAATAGTTCGAGAGAGGCTAAACTTAAACTTTGTGGTCATGAGCTTGTGGAACGAATGAACATACATTTTCATGCTTAAGATTCAGCGAGAAAAGAAGTTCTAAGCTGTGCACAACAATGTAAGGTATTAGCAAAAGAAACATTTGAATCAACGTAACAAATCGTTGCTAGATGCGTTTCAGTAATAAGTGATAATGCTGAAGCTAAATTGCCAACTGTTCACCATAGACGACGTAATATAAGACGTCACCGTCAAGTTGTTAACAATCCAATTGCTTTACCATTGAATCTGGCTGATGTTGAAATTCCAGATTGTTATAAATTTACTCGTGATGGACAAAATTTCCTTATTGCATGATTTTGGACGAGAAAATAGTAATCAAATGTTTATTTTTGGAACTGATGATAACCTCTAACTTTTATAATCATCATCACATTGGTTCATGATAGTAAAATTCAAACTAATAAATATGCTTTTTATATTAATGCAGAATTTAATACTTTGTTAAATGTTTGACAAATTGGATCAAATCATGCTTTATTTTTTTTAGCATCAAACAACTTTTATAAATTTTGTTTATAATTTTTAGAAAAATCAAATAATCAAAAAACTTAAAGAATGTATACATTGTTAAATGTTAGCTAAATTTAATCAAATCATATTGCTTTTTTGTTTTTGTTTTTTTTTGATAAATTTAATTAGTATTGTTCAATAAATTTTTTTGCATCAAACAATTTGTATAATTTTTGGTAATATTCAAATAATCAAGAAATTTGAAGAATATAAAAACCTTTGTAAAATATTAGCTATATTGAATCAAATCACATGGTTTTATTTTGCTTTTGATTTTCTATAAATTTAAATAAAACTGTTTTTTTGCATCTAACAACATGTATAACTTTTTATAAAAATGTTTAGAAAAATCAAATAATCAAGAAATTTAAAGATGCAGAAATATTTTAAATTAGAAAAATTCCGTTCTAAACAGTTGTACTTTGCTTATTTTATTATTTGAAAAAAAAATTAATTACATATATTTTGTTGATGCTCAAGACATTTAAAAAAATCATTTACTAGACGGTTAGTTTTTTTTACAAATGATATGGTATAATGCTAAATAATGTTACTTCAAATAAACAACAAATAAAAAGAAATAATAAAAATAACTGTCCGGAGGTTATTTTGCTTAGGGGGTAGGGGGGTGGTATTTTGCTCAAGGGTATTTGTCCAGTAGGTAATTGTTCCGAGGGTAAATGTCCGGGAAGTATTTGTCCGGGTGGTAAATGTCCGGAGGGTATTTGTCCTGTTACCCAGTCCGATATAGCTGTAAAGAGAGGTTGAAGTTGTAGATTATGAAGTGAAGTCGGTGGTTGGATGATCGAGTTGAGCTGTGAATTTGGCCATCGTGGGACATCTAGCGCATTTTTGTGATTCGGGAATAATTCATCGGTTCTGTTACAGTTGGCATTGAAATAAAGCTCCACGTTGGGCGCCAAAAAATTATCTTATTTGAAATGAAATACTAACTTTGATGATGAAATTAATATTAACTTTTTTATTAAAAAAACTATAGCAAATGTTGTGATGTTGAAGCTTATATCAGCACTTTCATAAATTTTTATTATTTGAAGTATTTGCAATTGAAAACTGTAACGTAAAAATATATCATAATTGTGAATCTCTTTTGTTGCATGATACAAAAAAGTAAACATACAAGTTTTAAAAAAGCTTAAAAACAGAGACAACTTACAAAACACACTATCAAAACGTAAGAGGTTCACAAATTAAAAATGATTAAAGATACTATTTACCCAATCAAATTGAATACAAAGTCTATAAACAAAACTGTTTGACGTTCAACACCTTAAAAGTGACACTATGATACATTTGAACTTTGATCAAACAAATTTGTTTATTGTATGAGCTACCAACTTAGCTGAGAGATGCATACATTTTTATAACGAGTTGTAATGCAAACAAAACAAATTTGTTTATTGTATGAGCTACCAACTAGCTGAGAGATTTAATGCATACATTTTTATAACGAGTCGTAGCACAAACAATAAAAAGTGCTGATAATGATGTCATTCGGCATGAGCAACGGATAAATGAAATTAATTTTAAAAAGGGCTATTTATTCAAACAGTATTTCTTTCGCAGTAAATAGCCTATGACGATATGGCTGAGCTAATTGAACGATTAAAAAAATAAAATACATAAAACAAAATTAAGCAATAAATTTTAAAATTTAAAAAACGGAGATTCTAAAACGGAGTTTAGGTAATTAGTATTCCTTTGAGTTGAAAAAAGTTCTATTCGTGACAGACAGTCAATTAGCGTTTCTAGAAAAAAGTGCAACATTGGAGCAAAAAGATTTAAAAAAAACTGATAGATATCGGGAAGATATCGTCCCAATTTAAAACGTTTACATTAAAAATCAATTTTGTTTGGTCGTGTCGGTAATCTAGGCTGTATCATGTTTACCAGTTTGGCTACATATCGGACACAAGGAGTTGAAAAAATATTTTTTCTCGCTCCATCCTTCGTTTCCAGGATGAAGTTTAAGATTGCAAAAACGACGATAGTGGTGGTTTGCAGGTACAGTAGCAAAGAGATCTGCAAGTAGGGCAACAGAACAACAGGCCTTATAGACAAGTTCACAACAGAACAGGCTGGAGGGACAGATTGTGAAATAAATACACTGCACGTTTGTTTACATGTTGCAGTTTTTATTTGTACCTAGCGACCGTCAATGGCGATGTAATTTGTTATTTGGTTAGAGCAATAAACTGTTTCAGATTATTTATTTTAATTAATTTATTTTTTTCGTAAATTTTATTGTCACTAGTTCTAACATTTTTATTATAATTCAAATTTTAAAATAATATTTTCATATTATCGACTGATTCCCGTTTAGGACTTAATTTTAAAATCAATAAAAACAGGTAATTTTTAAAAATTAGAATGTTAAATCTGACTGATCATCGTTCTAGTTTTCATAGTATATATCAAAAAATACTTGAAAAATAAATATATATTATATAGAAGTTGAAAATTCATCATATCCAGCAAAAGAACAATAAAAAATACACCTGTTATAAGTGTTGATAGATTTAATTTTAACTAACAGATAAAACAATTGAAAAACTTTAAACATACAAACGGAATAAATTAATTGTATTTCATTATTTAGTTTATATTAAATTAAAATTGTTGTAATTAGATTATTTTATTTATTAGTTTATTTCCTTATTGATCGGCTTTTGAATGTATAAGTACATGTTTCTTACTACTTTTCAAGTATTGCCATAGTAGTGATTTATTGATTTTATTGATGATTTTTATAATCTGACTAACACGTTTTTTTTATCTATTCCTTTTTTTATTCTAGGATATTTTAATTTTCATTCAAATAAATCTCAAGATTTTATATTTCGAAACATATTTAACACTTAACTTGATTTTCCTTAGCTAGAATAAATAAAATAGAAATTCCGATTAATTTTTCTGATCCTTATCTTATCTCCTTTAGTTGTAACTACAAATTTATTCGCAATACAATTATTCAAACACCAAAACACAACTGGGAGATGTTTGACGAAACCTTTATTTAAACAACTATTGGACCACTTTAGTTTTGACAACTTCAGGTATACAATAGTTTTATTTAATAACTTTATTTCTTACATTCTAGAAAATATAATCCCATTCAGAACTTTTTATAACCACTTGGTTTGACCGTGAAATTATTTTTATTGAACGTAATGCTGGTAAATCTGAACGTTCCTTTCAGTCTAAATCCTTTCCACATTTTTAAAACTTGTGTATATCAGTTTTTCCACCACCTTTGCTTAAGACTTCCACAATATAAAAAAAAATAATCTCTATCAGAATCAACTTTAACTAAAACTGCTCTGCTAAATCTGATAATTCTCTCTCTTTTGATAAACCATTTTGTTTTGAATGCTTTTCACCTATTGCTTTTTCTGAACTATCGTCTATCATTAATGCGATATCGTTCTCCTCTTAGTCTCTTAATATCACTTCTACCATAATTCTGAAAGTTGTCACACTTGCTGTATGTATCCTATTACTCATAAAACCGACCGAATTAAAACACCTACTTGGTGCATTTATTATCTCAGCAGATAATATTGTGAACTAAGCCGTTTTATTTGGTAAATCACAAACACTTGGGCTACTGAGGAGTCATATGGGGACAAAATGCGACTATCCTGGAACGGGTAAGGTGTTCACATTAATTCGACTGTGTTCATCAGTACGTTAGTTAGTTAGTGTTCAACTAGTTCGTAAGTGTTCATCAGCACATCAATTCGTCAGTGTATACTAGTACACCAGTTCATCAGTTAGCCAGATATCATCCGTTCGTCAGTGTTCATCAGTACTTTATTGTTCATCGATTCGCCAGAATCTATCAGGTACCTCTCATTAAATTGTGAAAAAAATGGACTAAAAAAATCAACGATTAAATAAATTATAATAATTAATGGTCACCGAGTTAACTAAATAAAACAAGAACAGAATTTTTTATTTATTTTTTTTTATTTAAAAATAAAAAATAAATTTAAAAAAAAAAAAAATTCTGTTCTTGTTTCATTTAGTTAACTCGGTGACCATTAATTATTATAATTTAATTAACTTATTTGAAAAAAAATGTAAAAATCTACCTAATGTTTCTTGAAATGTGTCAGCTAGCCAACTCATTTCTCTTGGTCCAGTGCCCATATCCGGGGCAGGTACATCAATGCCAGGTCCTAAATAAGAGGATATTAAAAAATTAACAATTTAAATAAAAAAACCTAATTTTTTATCATAACCAAAATATGCTTTTTAATAAATTTAAATTAAATACTCTGAAATTTAATAACAAAAGACTATCAACAACCAACCTAAAAAGCCTCTTTTCGCCAGTTCTATAGTGAAACGTCTAGTAATTTTTTCCAATTCGAATTCTGAGTACTGTTTGGGATTTATTTTGATACCTCCTTTAGCTCCTCCAAATGGCACATCGACGCAGGCACATTTGTATGTCATGAGAGAAGCAAGAGCTTTTACTTCATCAGCACAAACATCTCTTGCGTAGCGTATGCCTGAAAATTGATTCATCTATATTTATATATATTTTAAAATTCCTTTATACAATTATCTCAATATTTCCTACGGTATTTTCATCGTCGTTTTTAACTGAATTATATAGAAAACCAAGTTTTTAACTACTCTTCAATTCGTTTATCATTTATATAAGGGTCATTCTCTGTCAACTTGAACCATGGTCCACGCCCGACCATCTCCGATTTTTTTTAAATTTTAACAGTAAGTACCTCAATGTATTTCATCGACAAAATAAAATTTTTATAAAAAAATTTCAATTATTTTTCAAGTTATGAAGATTTTTGTGACAGCATCCTCAAATTTTTGAGCGATTTTTTTCAAAACTTGTACCTACGTAGAACGCTATATCTCTTGAACTAGCCAACATATCTTGATGAAATTTTTTGTGCATATCAGTGAAACAATGTAATAACAAAAAAAATAAATGTTATTGTCTCGAATCAAAGGATATTTTGAACAAAAAATCTAGAAAAAAATGAATTTTTTGAAAATTTCACCGATTTCAAATCAGCGTAGCTCAAAATCTATCGCAAAATAAATAAATATTTTTTGTTATTTTAGAAGTACCTTATAGTCACAAATAAATCACAAAATTTCGTTAAAATCTGTATTGAATTTTTTGAGCTATCGGAGCTCAAAATGTCAAAAAAATGAAAAACTTCTTTTGTTTGGCGCCATTTTTAACTATGAAGAACCAAACGTTTTTTAATTTTTAAAATTTGTTTATATAGTGCTTTTATAGCTTAACAACATATCAAAAAATAAAATTGGCGTTTGCTTTCTTTGAAAAATAAAACAACTTCAAAAACAGGCAAAACAAATTTTTTGTTTTGCCTGTTTTTGAAGTGTCAATATTTTTTATTTTTTTCAAGTGTCAATATTTTTTATTTTTTTCAATTTAAAATTTAAAATTTAGAATGTATGTTACACAGATGTGAGGAATGCCCAGGAAAACTGAGTGTCGAAAATAACATAAGAGCGATTTTCGAAGAAGCTGTAATTTCCCATGATGATAATCGCAGTTCATTGATTTTCGTACAGGATACAGTTGACAGTTTCATTGAAAGATTTTCGCAAAAACTTGACGAGTTGTCATCGCATCATTACATAAGCAAAGAACAATTGAAATATCTTGGCGATTCTAAAAAAATTTAAAAAGTTCGGAGTGTATTGCTTTAATGGATTTTGCTGAAAATTATTTGGTGATAATACAGGATGCAATCCAGAGTCAACATTGGAGCAACACGCAAGTTACTCTTCACCCAATTGTTCTTTATTACAGAAAACTTATTTATTTATTTATGAAAACTTATCTGTCAAAAGCGTTTGCATGATTAGCGACTGTCTCGATCACAATGTTTCCGCTGTTTATGCTTTTCAAAAACATTTAATTAACTATGTAAAACAAAACCTGAAAAACGTTACTTTAATTAAATATTTTTCTGATGGTGCGGTAAGTCAATACAAAAATTTTTCTAATTTAATTCATCACAAAGAGGATTTTGGATTAAAAGCAGAATGGCACTTTTTTGCAACTTTTCATGGTAAAAGTCCTTGCGATGGAATTGGAGGGACAACAAAAAGATTGGTTGCAAGAGCAAGTTTGCAGGCATCAACAAAAGATCAGATATTGAACGCCAGAGATTTTTACACATACGCTGATGCGAAAATAAATGGTATTAAATTTTTTTGGGTAGACAAAAAAGAAATTAAAGATCTGCTAGGAATGCTTGAAAAAGATTTAGGTCAGCAGATAAAACAAAGGGTTGTCGAAGTCATCACTCATTTATTCCAGACAAAAATGATCAACTTTTGATGAAACGTTTGTCTTCAGATTTATTTGGATACAATTTTAATAAAAATGAAAGTGAAGACACCAATGATGATTATGAGCCGGGTCGATTTGTAGCTTTGGTCTATAATATGAAATGGTATTTAGGAAACATTATAGAAAGAGATGATAAAAATGATGATTTAAAAATTAACTGTCTGAAGAAATTTAAAGAAAATATTTTTTATTGGCCTAAAAATGTAGATATTTGCTATGTACCATTTAAACATATTTTGATTCTTATACCTGATGATAACATTTCTTATGTTGGAAAAATTCACATAACTCTTCCTGAAACTGTTTTTAAACACATTAACACGTTGTATAATAATTTTAAATTGAAAAAAAAAAAAAACAATTGACACTTGAAAAAAATTTGTTTTGCCTGTTTTTGAAGTTGTTTTATTTTTCAAAGAAAGCAAACGCCAATTTTATTTTTTGATATGTTGTTAAGCTATAAAAGCACTATATAAACAAATTTTAAAAATTAAAAAACGTTTGGTTCTTCATAGTTAAAAATGGCGCCAAACAAAAGAAGTTTTTCATTTTTTTGACATTTTGAGCTCCGATAGCTCAAAAAATTCATACAGATTTTAACGAAATTTTGTGATTTATTTGTGACTATAAGGTACTTCTAAAATAACAAAAAATATTTATTTATTTTGCGATAGATTTTGAGCTACGCTGATTTGAAATCGGTGAAATTTTCAAAAAATTCATTTTTTTCTAGATTTTTTGTTCAAAATATCCTTTGATTCGAGACAATAACATTTATTTTTTTTGTTATTACATTGTTTCACTGATATGCACAAAAAATTTCATCAAGATATGTTGGCTAGTTCAAGAGATATAGCGTTCTACGTAGGTACAAGTTTTGAAAAAAATCGCTCAAAAATTTGAGGATGCTGTCACAAAAATCTTCATAACTTGAAAAATAATTGAAATTTTTTTATAAAAATTTTATTTTGTCGATGAAATACATTGAGGTACTTACTGTTCAAATTTTAAAAAAATCGGAGATGGTCGGGCGTGGACTTTTTTTTAAATCGTTCAAGTTGACGGAGAATGACCCATAAAGAAAAAGTTTTTCGATAAAGGATAACCGAAAAAAAGCTTTTCCTGAATAAAATAAAAATGAGAGTAGTTTATCTTCGTTTTTTATGAATAAGTTTGATAAAACTTATTTATAAAAAAAAACATAGATTTCATACAATAATGTATAAAATATGATAAAAATACGGTACAAAATAATGAAAAACTGAACCAGAAACTAATCAAAGTTGAATATATATTTCTTAATAATATAATATATTATAATAATATAAGATTTTATAAATTACTGCATATATATACAGTATTGTATAAATTTTACCGTGTAGAGAAAATTGAAAAGAAGAACTCAACATTGATTAATGCTAACAATTCGGTGGAATTCCTACAATACCAAATAAAATATGGTTTCCTTCCAGCATGTATATATATATACATGTATATATATATATATATATATATATATATATATTTAGGGACGAGGTTTTCAGCTATGCAAATTTCATTGAATATTTTTGCCCACTTAGCATTAATTAACTTTTTGAAAATACACTCAACGATATGGAATTGTTGTAAATCGTATTTATGCTAAGTGGGCAAAAATATTCAATGAAATTTGCATATATAAATATATATATATATATATATACATACATACATATATATATAAGCTCCGGATCCGGCCAAACATCTGTCTATTTTTCACTATCCGGCCATATTTAGCCCCTGCCGGATATAGTTGGCCGGATAATAATAATAAATGTCTCCTATAAAGCGCTAATGCAAGCGACCAAGGTGTCTTCGAAATTCAAAAAATAATAAACCACGGAAAGTTATTTAAAGTAACATGAAATTAAAAAATTAATAATAAAGCACGGCAAGTTATTTAAAGTAACATAAGTTCGATGGTTTAAAAAAATTAAAATTAAAGTAAAATATACAATGTCTAAAATTATTTTAACATGTATAAAGTAGACTAAGAGATGTGTTAATTAATGTCTGTAACTTTTGGTCTGGATAGTTCCTATATATATATGTATATATGTATGTGTATATATATATTGGAATATAAATATATATATATATATATATTGGAATATAAATAAATATATATATATATATATTGGAATATAAATAAATATATATATATATATATAATAGTGATAAATCACTTTTGGTCTGGATAGTTCCCATATATTATATATATAGAATATAATATATATATAATATATTTAATATATATATATATAATATATAATATATATATATATATAATAATGATAAACGTCACTGCAACGCAAGCGACCGATATATATATATATATATATATATATATATATATATATATATATATATTTATGATCGTTAACTCACAAAGACAGACTAATAGCACGTTCGGTTAGCTTGGTCACTATCAATGCATATGCAAATTACGATTTGCGTGCAGCTTGCTATAGTTTGATAGCAGCAGAGTATAACTTAGTTTCCACCAATTAGCAAAAACACGTGACATTTAAACAAAAGCACTGATACGCTCATATTTTGCTTGAATATTTTATTTGCTTTCATTGACTTTTATTTGCTTTCTTTTGCTTGCTTTATCATTTTAAAGGTTAAAAGGTTACTCTCTCTTTTGCGTTTGCTTCAGAGGTTTCAGCGACAAACACACACAGCGTAAATGAATACGCGCGAAAACCACGCATCATACACATTGCATATGATAGGCGGGATCTCTTTGTATTCTAACCCAGTCATTGCAACAGCAAGACCAGGCGCCTTTAACCAATGAGCCATCACGCTGTATAGCTAATTTCCGTTTCTAATATTTTTTTTAAATTTAATTTATTTTTAATAAAACTTTTTGAAAATCAATTTTTAGCTTTGTCATCGAAAATCGTTTTTGGTGTAATCATACTGTTGCCTAGTTTTTGCCAACGGTAGACCGTAAATCATTGTCAAGTTTCTTGAGTTCAAAACCAAAATTTTTATTTATTTTAAGCATGATAGAACAGAAGAGCTTTTTCTGTACTCTACCATCTTCGGTGTTAAAATTGATACTTTGTAAATACAAACATTTTTGGGGATAAAATTATTATTATTTTATTTTTATTATTTATTGGGGTTCAATTAATTAAAAAGTAAATAATGAATAAAAAATTTAAATAAATAGATGGCAATTTTAAATTTTAAAAGAGACCCCCTAAACCATTAGACTATCAAGCTGCTCATCGGAAATCATTTTTAAACGGTGGTTAACATTTGACAGTATTTATATTTTTATATATTATATATTGTAAAGATCATTGTTTTTATAATAAATTCGTTTTTTGTTTGGTTCATTTCTCCATTAAAATATCATTGATACACAACTTATTAAATAACATTTTTTTTAAATAAAAATATAATTGTTTTTTTGAAAAAGTGTTACAAATTTAATTTGTTATTACATATGCTGTATATTAATAGATTTCACACTTTTTTTGTTACTTAGTTGTTAATAGAATCGATTAAAAAAAATAATATAAACTATTTTAAACCACGATCAACTGTCAGAAATCAAAAATTTGTTAAGTATCTAATTAAATTTAAAACTGAGTATGCTTCTAATAAATAAATTATTTGCATATAGAAAGAAATAATTTACCTAAATATTTTTGGCATATTAAATCATCAGTGACAATAGATAATGCAACAAAAATAACCTTGGCTGACATATAAAATGGAGAAAAATTATAATTTTTACATAGAATCATTAACTAGCCTCCTTTAGTTGGAGTCTTGTGATCACTATGTTGTGCTCTCCAAGCTTCTATAATTTCAAACTCCCCATTGTCTCTTTTGATTGGAAAAGTAATCGCAATAACTCTATTACAAGGTTTAATAATACCCAATATCCCTTTAACTTTCTTTACTTTATCTTCATTACTGGATCCAGGCATGGCTGAGCTAAGAGATTGTTTAATAAGGGCAGGTTCAAGAAGATTAGAAGCTCTATCAAAGTACAACTCAACCATCTCAAAGAAACTAGCATTATCTTCTGGATCATTTGCATCAATTGGGGATGAAGAAGAACAAAGAAAAGATGTTGTTGCCACCGATCTGCTATGTGATAACAAAGCTCCAATGGATGGCAACTTATTTTTTAGCCTTGAAATGCTTTGTTTTAACATGCTTGATAAGTGATACAAGATCTGAAAAAACAATAGATTGTATGTAAATTTATAAAAAAACAATCTAAGAACAAATTTTTTAATAAAATAACTTAACAATGTTGATAAGCCACTTGAGAGCATTATGATTTCTTAACTGATATTTTTGAAGTTATCTCAATTGTGACTCTTAAGTGAGAGATTGTACCAAAATAAGAGCCACTTGGTTTAAACAACAAACCATGTTAAAAAATTGTCAATCTTTAAACGTCTACCTTTAACTTTAAAAACTTTTGAACTTGAAATATTACATCACCTTAATTAATAAACCAACTTTATTAAAAAGCTAACTTAATTAATAAACCAACAATGTTTAAAAACGCCTCGTGAACTAAATCCTCCAAATTATAAAAAGAACTAAATCCTTCAAATTATAAGACGTGAAGCATAATAAATCGCAATCAAAAATTTATTTTTCAGTCATGCAATAACAACAAATCTAATACTGACTAAAAATACTTCAAAGTCTTTCAACGCAAAATTAAGTCACTCGATAGGCGGCTTGATGCAAAGTAATTCACTCGATAGGGGGCCTGATGCAAGTTAATTTACTCGATAGGTGACAAGACGATTTTTTTGTTTGTTTTGCAATTTAGATCTTAAAATTTAATTAGTAGTTTTTTTTTTGATTAATTTGACATACCTTGGAAATTTTTATGTTTAAAAACACCCGAAACAAAATCTAATTTTGCTTTGATATAGAGTTTCTTTATCTTGAGTAGTGGAGGAAGAGAGTCCGCACTGGGTTGACTAGTTAGGCAGCTTCGAATAATCGGTGCCTATTCTGGTCTCTAAGAGACTTAATTCGATATTCTATGCTCATTGGCACGGAAACGTCTTAAGTTCTCGAAAAGAGTCCGCCTTGGGTTCACCAGTTAGGCAGCTTCGAATAATCGGTGCTTATTCTGGTATCTAAGAGACTTAATTCGTGATTCTATGCTCATTGGCACAGTTTCAGAAACGTCTTAAGTTCTCAAAAGTGGATTTGGTACGAGACTCTATGCTCATTGGCGTAGTTTCGCACGCGTACTAAAGTCACACAATTTGTTCCAAGTGTTGTTCTGACTCTTGTTGTTTTGTGTATGTTGTGCGAAAGCCGACCAGACTGACTAGGCCCAGTGAAAACAGGCCAGGGTTGTGCGAAAGCCGACCGACTGACTGACAGGCCCAGTGAAAACAGGCCTTAGATTCTGTGAAAACGAATCCGCCTCGTTGTTTTGTTTTTTTTGTGCTATTTGTGGACCTAGGGTTCTTTGCTGGATTCTATACTCATTGGTATAGTTTCGCACGCAGCTTGGAATTTCCATAGGCTCCGATTTTTGTAATTTTTCTGCATTCATTTTATTTATTTCTCGGAGTTGTATCGACACCACCATCGGTCACACACGTCGAGGTTGTACGATTAAACGGCAAGAAACATATCCCAAGTCGAAGACCCAACAAGAAGAAGTTCTAATTCCTGTATTCCAGTTTGTTCATTGACATTATTTTTTTTACATTATTATTGAGTTTATTTAGTTCAATTCCTTTTCATTTACTTCCTTCGATTAATAAAATTGTTATCGAATATTTTTACGCGTTCGTTTGTTACTCAGTAAAATCATATAATTCGAAAAAGCCCAGTGCCACACAGGACTGGTCGAACTCATGATAAAAATATACACAAAAATTATTGTCGGACCATAAAAAAATTCCGAGAAAGATAGAGGAAAAGATTACCTCACCACCAGTTGCTTAAATTTCCGACAATATATATATATATATATATATATATATATATATATATATATATATATATATATATATATATCGTTAAAAATAGTCGCCCATTTTGCATTTATCATTAAAAAAATTCAAATTGGCTGAATTCATATTTATTTAAAAACTGATTTGAAGACAGAGTTAAGCTGAGACTGACAGCGATGTTTCGGTATGTCCATCTGTCCATCTTCATCTTGGTCATCATCATCATGGCACGAGGTATGAAAATAGTAAAACTGAGAAGACAAAAACAGCACTAAAAGTTTTTGAAGCTAACTTAAGAAGTATCACAAGCATTGAAAAAATGGAAGAACTGAGATTGTATTCTGATGAAAACATTATAGGAGTAACAGAATCCTGGATTAAACCATGCATTGGCAATGGAGAATTAAAACTGGGAAAATAGGTGCTGTTCAGAAAGGACAGAGAAAATCAGAATAATTTGGTCACGGTGCAGAAGTTCTGCTATATGTTAAACAAAACTTATCTGTTATATAAAGAATGGATCTTGTTGGATCTTGTGAACAATGACTTCAAGGAGTCAATTTGATGCGAAATTCGATGCAGTAATGAAAGAATTTTACTAGGTGTATGCTACAGGCCGCCAAGCTTTGGAGATTCAATAGATGGCTGCTTGAAATGACCAGGACAGCTATTAACAATAAAATTCCTACAGTATTAACGGGAGACTTCAACTTCCACATCATACTAGGAAAAGTATGAGGGCGAAAGATCTTAAGATAGACAATTCCTCATCTTTGTTAACGTGAATTTTTTAATAGTACATTTAAAAAATAAACACACAAATATATGTAATAATTTTTGCTATTCTTCATTACATAATTAAATCATTATTATTAAAAATAGCGTACTTCACAGATTTACACCACAAGCTTCACAAGCAGCCTTTTTACCTTTGCAGCACATATAATGCCAGTCTAATTTTTTTCTAAAACTTTATTATGAAGTGAAATTTTTGTAGATTTTTTTCGTCAATATCTAGTCAAATTGCAAAATACTGTCATGAATCCCATCTGTTTTTATTGAACCAAAAAATCCAACCGAACATAATGAGTTTATTTATCATGGGCAATCAATTACCTTCATTTAGATTTTATATCAAACGTTATGAATCTTTCGATTTTTTTTTAATCTTGTCTTTTCATTGCAGAACTCAAAATTTGATGACCATAATTTTTAGACCAATCAAAGTCTTTAAATTGATTTAAATTGATCATAATAAATTGATCATAATAGTTAAATTAATTGAGTATATTTAATTAAATTTATGATCAAATTAATGTAGGTGGATAGATCATTCATTAAAATGCATAAATAACATAAAAACTTATGCAAATAACAGTCTAGCCCATTTGACTGTTATAGATATACAAATTTCTCGGCTGTTCTAATGTTAAACAGCGAAATATCATTTGCAAGATAAATGCTTTTGATACCGAAGCAAGTTGGAAAATCTTCAAAAACTGTATCCTAGAAGAAATTGAATCTACTGTCTCTAAATATAAAAATGAAAAAAATGGAAAACTATGGGTTACAAAAGAAGTTTTAAATCTGAAAAAAAAGAGAAACAGGTTGTGGAAAAAATTTAAACAATGGAAAAACAATAAAATGCACATATGAGAAAACAACCGTACACTGGAACATCTAACATCAAAATACAAAAAAGTTAGAACAGATCAAGTGAAGCAAACCAGCATGCAATGAGATGATACAAAAAAAGTTCACTCAGAATATTAAAGTAGACTGTAAGAGCTTCTATAGCTATGTCAGAAGTAAACAAAAACGAAAGGATAATGTAGGACCGCTTAAAGACAATTCTGGACGTACTATGTACAATGTTGAAGCAGTCAAAAAACTAATCAAGTCTTGCTTCTGTGTTTATAAAAGAAAACATAGACGTTATACCAGCAATTAAAACTTTTTAATGGCACAGAAGATGAGTACTTAGCATATTGAGATTGGCACAGAAGTTGGAATGAAATAAGTCAACTAGGGAAGAATGAGTGTTTTTATAACCAAAGATTGTAAGCCATGAAGACAGTGTCAAAAAGCTGCTAAAAAGGCCACTATAATGCTTGGGGCCATTAAAAGAACAATTTCAAGCAGTGAACAAACTGTAATAACAAGGTTTTACAAATCCTTAGTAAGATCACACTTGGACTACTCTGCATACAGTTTTGGAGTCCCTATATTAAAAAAAACAATTCTTGAGAAGGTCCAAAGAAGGCTACAAAGATGATCACAGACTACGACACCAGCAATACAAAGAAAGACTTGGTAAATGTGGCCTAATAACCCTGGAAACACGTAGAACAAGATAAGATTTGATCTAAACTTACAAACAAATTATGTACAAAAAAGATTAATCAGCTACAATATTTTTTAGTGTCTTATAACAAATATACAAGTGGTCATAAACTAAAGAGTTTCAAAGAACAAATTGGGCCAATGAAATATAACTTTTTCAGCAACAGAGTTGTCAATCACTGAAACAGCTTAAATAACAATGCAGTGTCAGCAAAATCAACAGATATTTTTAAAAGCAAATTAGCCAAATTATGATTCTAACTGCAGTTGCTCTAAACAGATGATTGATTAGTCTTTGAGCAACTATAACTTCTGTTATATTATGTTACGCTAAGCGCAAAAAAGTTGTCAGCCACAAATGTTATTCTCCAATGGTCAACGTACGTAAGATTTTATATTCATATATATACGCGGCCTTACAAAGATAAAATAGTCTTCAATGCGGTCCTCATAGCAAAAAGTTTGTTCACCCCTAACTTAGAATGTAAAAATTGCGTGTTAAACCAGCAGGTACAACTCGGAGGATTTGATAATAATGGATAACCGACTTGTGAGAAAATTGACAAAACATTGTTGGTATATTAGAACGAAATTCTGATCATTGTAGGTTAGAAGTGGTTGCTTGCAGAAATACAGCTACACAGCTACATTGGAATAATAATTGACCATGTTCTACCAGAAATGACGATTTGGCAGGCTACAACATTGACAAAATAAACACTGAGGTTTATCAACATGCGATTGTAGTGTACACTCAAAACTTTGTACATCCTCTATATGCTAATGTCAATACTCAGGCAATTGAGGGAGAGTCTATGGATGCATACAAAAAGGAAATTGTTATCAATGTGAAACAAGGCGTGCATTATTTTTAAGTTATCTAAACAAATTTCAGTGGTGCTACAGCCATCAAACATGCCTTTGGACAATATTTAAAGTTACTTAATGATAACCGTTCAACATTCCCTCATGAAAATGGTATGTTTATTGTATATTTGAAATGACATGTTTATTTCAATTTTATTGTTATATAACAAATTTTGTATATAAATTTTTTTTTGTATGTTAAAAAATAAAGTTAGTAAAGTGTTTTTCATTATTTTGCTTACCTTCTCGTTACAAAAAATTAATCTTATAACTTGGGACCTTCATTTTGTGGTTTGATAAGAATTTATGTAGAAAAGATGTTGATGTTGTAAGCTACTAAAATTAGAACGTAAACAAAAACAAGTTTTCAAATTACGTGATGTAAACAAGTAGTAAATAATAGATAGGAGTGGTCAAACTTAAGGTCAAAGATGTCTGTTTAAAAGAATACAACCAGAATTTCTACCTAAATTATATTTTATAAAAAAGAAAAATTAAAAAAAATGAAATATTGCCAAAATAAAATTATTATTACACTATATATTATATCATCCTAATGCAGACTTAGTTTAATTATTCTCATTTTACGATTTTTTTTGTTACTTTTAAAAATAAATACCACTACTCTACTCTATATTACTGAATATAGAGTAGAGTAGTGGTATTACAATACTACCCAATACTCAATAAGCAGATCCATGTTTGCTTAAAAAAAATTACTAAAAACAAAAAACAGTTAAAATGTTAATTTTAATTTTTAATTCAATACTAAAAATGGTGTTGATGGCCAGACGAACCAAAAACTTTACTTTTAAACTTTAAAGTCTTAAATTCTAATGTAAACTTTATTAAATTTTTTAATTTAAGACTTTTTTAATTCAAATTATTAAAAAAGGCCAGTATTAGACAATTAGAGGTAAGGTTATTAGCTTGTTCGAATAGGTTTTTATAGTTAGTAACTGCAACAGGTAAACCTATCCAAACAAGCTATCCAAACAAATATTAATATGTATTATTATAATAATAATAATAATAATACATATTAATATTATATTAATTCAGTAATATATATATATTATATATACTGTAATTGTACTATACTGTTAACTATATAGTATATAGTTATATTATAGAATCAATATTAATATTAAGGATTAATACTAGAATAGACAATAGAGAGAAACATAACAAATAATATCAATGAAATAACAATTAAATATAAATGATGACTAAATTATTAATGAATGGCTCAGTAAATAAAATAAATATTTATTTGTATATAATATAAATAAATATTTATTTAAAAAAAAAGAAATAAAATAAATAAAAAGAATTAAATTAAAAGTTAAGAGATTCTTCTACACTACCTGGCTACCAGTACAAAAAAGCTGAAAACAAAGTTTTATAATTTTATATTCACCAGCCTTAGAATAAAAAAATTAATAACGAATGTCAACATACGTAACAAACCGCCGTCCAGCAAAAAACGATCTACGATGAAATTAAAGGACAGGACGAGCTTTATAAAGGAAACAAACTCAAGCTCAACTGATCAACGTTTGTAAATTAGGAATGGCAAAATTATTAAAGGTAAAAAGATTAAGAATATACGAAATAGTGTTGAAATCATTTTTTTTATATAAAAAATTGATTCCATGGTCACTGAAAGTTTTTTTAGACTGGAATTGCTCTTTTGTATTCATTCCATTATAATCTTACTTTTTTCTCGCTCTCGATTTTTCTTCTGCTTTTAATACCGTTGGCCATGCTATTCTCTTGAGGCTGCTAGATCATTCTTTCAATATTACTTGAAAGCTTCTTGTCTATCTTGATTTTTTTCTTATCTATGTAATTGTTTTTCTTCTGTTGTTCTTAATACTAACTACTTCTGTCTACTTCTAACTCCTCTTCTCTTACTTTTTGGATACTTACTGTCCTTGGCCTTCTTCTATTTATATTCTATACTTCTGAAATACCTCGGATTATTAATAATTTTTCTTTCACTAGTCAACTATATGCTGATAATTCTTTTATTTATACTTCTTTTCCTCCATCTAACCTCAATAGTGTTCTTCATAATCTAACTCTACGTCTTTCTTCAAGTATCACTTAGTCAGACTCTGTGTCATAAAATTAATTCTTCTAAATTTGAATTAATTTGTTTTAATAAATCTAAACGTTTTATTATTTTATTTTATATTATTTTATCTGATTCTAAAACTTTTGATGTTTCTCACAGGTTTCGTAGTCCAGGCTTTATCTTTGATTTTAGCTTGTCTCTTTCTTATCAAAAGTTGCGTTGCTAAAAGTTCTTACTTTCATCTAAGTAGAATAAAAAAGTTTTTGCCTTTTCTTGACGGTCTTCCCTTCTCCTTCTTGTTACATCGTTAGTCTTATCTAGGATTGATTATTGTAACTCGCTCTATTATGGTCTTCCTAATTCTAATCTCTACCCTTTAACTCTCCTGTTGGTCTAGTTGCTCGTGCCCCTTTCTTTCCACATATATCTCCATATCTTGTTCTCTTGCTCTGGTTACCTATAAAATATCCTATAAAATATAGAATAATTTTTAAAATTTGCACATTAATGTTTAAGTCTCAATTTAAATTATTTTCTAAGTACTTATCAGATTAATTAAACCTAAACGCGCCGGTTACGATCGTCTTCTTGTTCTCACTTCTTTTTAACTCGTGTTAAACACTCATTTGCTTATTCTGGCTCTTTTCTCTGAAAATCTCTACCTCCTTTTCTGACTACTTCTCCGTCTCTTACGAAGCTCAGAGCGGATTTCAAGATCCATCTCTGTTTGCAAAAAGAAAAGGGTGCGAGCAACTAGACCAGCAGGAGAGTTAAAGGATAGAGATTAGAATTAGGAAAACCGTAATAGAGCTGTTGAACGTCGCGGAAAAAAGCTTTATAAACGATTGATTGGTTGAGTGATTGATTGACTAACTGACTGACTGACCGACCGACCGACCGACTGACTGAATATTTTATGTCCGTGAGATCTCATTTACATAATTAAAAATAATAACAAAACTTGCTAAAATTAAATTTTAATGGGTTTAAAATTAGCCAAAATAGAAGACATACAAAAGTTTCTGGTCAAGCACCGAAATATATATATAACCAATTTTTTTAAATTATTTAAAAATTCATCAAACTTTTATCTTAAACAAACTGATCATGTTGACGATTACTTTTTTCTTTAAATATATTAACCACATTGCAATTATTTATTTTTAATGCATCTCTTTTTTTGCGCAAATTTATGAATAACTAATTGCCTTCTAACTATATAAATTTTTTAATACATAAACCTTTGGATAGTTTCAACATTACCCGACATTTTATTCCTTTCATTATTCCCTTTAGTAGATTAAAAATTTTTAATGATAGCATTTTTATTATGCCGCCTAAAATTTTGTTTAAAATTCCTCCACAATTATCACTTCTCTTAATATACCGGGTTGTTTCAAACATCATAGTAAAACTTTTCTTTTATCCTCTAAACATGATATCACTATTTAGGTATGCTTTTTTATTATGCATATATGTGGGTTACATGTGTGTATAAATGTGTTTATAATTAAACATGTGTAAGCTCGCGCTTGTATGTGGACACGTTCATCATATTATCATTGAATTTCAGTCTTTTTATACTTTGACAATAACTAAATTACGTGTCAATGTTTTTATGCTGTTTCAATCCATTATTTTTTGTAACCTGTACGCAAGTTTAATTTTAAAATTCTGTTTATATTTAACGATTATTTCTTATCTTTATTTTAAATGTAATTGTTCTGTTTAACGGTGGTTTAACAAGAATTTTTTTTCTTTTTTGATCTCCGTATCATTTTCATTTCTTACATGTGTTTGTATAAATATATATATGTATATATATATAATAAAAAAACATCGTTATTTTATAATGGAAGGGTTTTGTCACTGAATGTGAATTTTTTAAACTACGACAACGCATGCTCAATGTCGTTAATGTCGTCATCCAGGTAGACGAGAACCAGGTGCATGTTGGATGAGTCATCTCAAAACTTGAATCACCGTCTGTCACCAATTCTTGTCCTGAATTAATATTTGCATTAACATCACCTTCAAGGCAAGCCGCTGGCGGCAAGATCCGAATGATAGTCCCACCTCATATCAAAAGTATCCATATATTTGTCACTTCTAACCTTTCAAATGTTTTCAAGACCTTCACCATCTTCACCATCATCTTCTTCAAATTAAAAAGCATTAGGCAAGTTGCTGGCAGTAATATTCGAGTAATAGTTTCCACAGCTTATCAACAATTTCAATGTCCTTGTCACTGCTAACTTCTGGACTATTCTCAAAACCTTTATTGTTGTCTTCGTCGTCATTTTCATCATTACGAAAATAATGGAAAGCATTGAAAATGAAAGCCGGCAAATCGCTGGCAGTAAGATCCGGGTAGTAGTTCCACTGCATATCAAAAGTTTCACTGCCAACTTCA